CACCTCGACTGTGACTCGCTTAACTCGTGTTGGGACTGGGTCAACTCGCGCTATAGACTCAGGTTCGCATTGTATAAGCACTGGCATTCCAGACGTTCCCCCTTTGAATTGATCTTGAGTTTCTGCACCTTGGCATTGAGTAGACCAATATTAGCTTGCATGCTACCCGTTTCCTTCTACCTAGAGCGAACTCGGTCCAACAGAACTTGGCCATAAGTGCTCACTTGCAAAAATCAGAAACAGAGTAAGGTGCCCTAGTAAAAAAAAATCAAGAAGTTTTCGGAAAAAAAAAAGAAAGAGACCTAGATGATACACTAGGCCAATCGGGCCCCAGTCTTGACAAGGTCCAGCTTGTTGTACTGCCACATGTCCTTAGGTAGAAGTATGTCCCTGCCCAACTGAAAAGCTACATGAACATCACTCGACTGATCGATCATGGACAGGTCAGGGATGCTGGGGATAAAGGGAGGGATATCGGACACGTAGGGGCCAGCCTCTCACTCCTCCTGGGTGACCTGCGGCTCTGGTGGCTATTACTCCGTGCACATCGGATCCCCCTCCCCCTCCAGGTTGATAACTAGAGGGGTCCCGGACGAAGAAACCTTCCCCCTGGATGACCTATGCTCAGCTCAGCTTTTCTTATGAGAAGACCTCAGCTCCTCCTCAGCCAACATCATGGAAGACAAGCTCGCCATACCTAGAGGTGTAAAGTGGGCCGTGCCGGGCTAGCAAGGCATGGCCCGCAGGTGGCCTGGGCAAAGTGCGGGCCGTGCTGCCCTCCCCAGTGAAAATTTTGGGGGTTGACCCGGCACAACCCACGGCCCAGGCCCGCATAGGCCCGTGTCGTGCTGCGGGCCGGGCTGGCCCAYGGGCCAAGCCTTGGCCCAAGTCGGGCCATGGAACGGGCCAAAGCTATTTTTGCCTATTTATTTAAAAAATTGAAAAAAATTTAAAATTTTAATTTTATATGAATTTTGATGTATACAATAATTAAATAAATTAGTATAATAAAATAAAAAATTATTTATTTTATTAATATATTATATACTATATATTGTTATATAATTATAATTTATATAATATATTATATATAAATATATAAAATATATAAATATTATGCATATATAAAAAATATAGAAATGGTATATATAGGCCGTGCTGGCATGCGGGCCGCAGGCAGCACGACCTGCTTGGTCGTGTCGTGCCATGTCGGCCTGTGGACTTCAAACCCCAGGCCCAGCACGGCACGGACCGTCGTGCGGGGCCTGGCACGACTTGTGGGCTGTTGTGCCGGGCTGCTGGCGGCCCGACTCGATGTACACCTCTAGCCATACCTGCAAACAAAGACATAGCATTAGCAGTCAAATTAGCAGAAAAAGGGAGTAAGTAAATGTGTGACTTGAAGAAAACATGCTACATGTGACTTGACAACCGACCCACCTATATGGCTCAGTCCTACCTGCACAAGCATCGGCTCGGCCAGAAACTCTCCAATCTTAACATGTTCCGGGGCAAGCTGCTGGACAACAGCCTGTAGCTTAGCATCCTTGCACTCAGCAACCTTCTGGGGGCTACTGTACCAGGCAGTGTTGACATCCCAGCCGCCCTCCTTCTCAAGGAAAAAGAACCTCTGCTTCTAGCCCCTAACCTTGTTGGGAAAGTTAAAAATCTTCCTCCCACTACGGAAAGGAAGGTAGAAACAAAAGGGGCCAGATATTCTCTTCATTTGCACCAAAGCTGAGAAGGTCTCAAGGCTCAAAGGGAAGCCCCAGTGGTGGCATGAGCTGATCAATCCAACCAGTGTCCTAACCCCGTTTGGGGTGAGTTGACCCAACGACACCCTGTAGTGCCGCAATACAACAATGATGAATGGATGAAGGGAAAACCGGAGGCCGGCCGCCAGCGACTCCTCATAAACACACAACCCCTCCCTGCCGTGGTCCTAAGGATAGTGATTGGCAGTCGGCTCAATCCAATGATACTCGTTGGGAACCCCATATCTCTGACATAGTTCCACTATCTCCTCCGCAGATAGTTGGGTCGGCTCAAATGCATCTATCACGACCTCTACTTCCTCCCTCTTGCCCACTAAGGCCCCACCATAGAAGGACTCATACGAACCCTCGCCAGAGGAGCTAGACTCCTCGTCCGACCTACCCAGAAACAAAGCTCGCCTCAACTGCTTGGCACTGGAAACCAACTTGCAGAATACCCTCTTCCTCCAAAAAAATCCAAAAATAGTGAATATGTGGGGACCTCATTAGAGACCCCCATATTTATAGCTCGCGGGAAGCATAACTGATGGTCCAGATGGGAACTGCAGCTGGCAGAGGCGCATAGTCAAGGATCCAACGACACAGGTGCAGGACAGCGTGGCAACAGTTCAGAAACAAGTGTGCTAATTCAAAAATTCAAAACCCAGTGTGCACTTAGTTTGAATTTAGGCGCACATTTAAATTCAAATTACCCGTCATGAACGTCGCGTGCATGAAGCTACCTGCTCCAAAAGGTTCCAGAAGAAGCGGCTCGGACCAAGCACAAATCGGGTGGGCTGAACTGCCACCAAAGGTGAACTAAACCACCAACAAAGACGAGTAGACCCAAAACGCCCTAGAAGTTCCTACTATCTTCGCCAGCTGAGCAGCGGCTCGAGAGTGGGGGGCAATTGATGAGAGGCATTTTGGTCACCCCCACACAATTACTGACATGTGGACACTGATGATAGCATAGTGTCCACGTCAGCAAGGCAGCTCGACAGTTCAACACGTGGCAACCAACCTCAGGTGTGTGGCCGAGCTGGGGCGAGCTCGGGCCGCCATTGACACAAGCTCGCCTAAACCGTTCCGCACGCCGTGCCCTCTCAGGAACCGTTACCACGATCATAGGAACAACTCACTGAACCGTTCGCCACAAGACCTGCGGGCGACCTGTAACCGCCGCATGAATCTAGTAATTGACACTCTAGCGTGCCTTAAACTGCGGAAACAGCTCCGCAGAAGACTCAAAGACATTGCATGATGGCAACTGAACCTCAGATAGCTATAAAAAGACTCCAAATCCACCCTAAAAGGTATGCACACTAAAGCTCTTAAGCTCTCTCATACCTCCTTACAGAAACCACTGTTCTGACTTAAGCATCGGAGTGTTCTCCTGGGTAAAACCTACCCAGGCACTCTAACTTCTCTTTCTTGACAGCTCTTTCCAACTCGAACATACAGGTTTCAACTCGGCAACATAGTTCGAACTGCTAGATCAGATCCTAGTTTAGGCCTAGTCACTGAACACGAGGGATCGAATAGATCGCACCTCACCAGGTTGGATCCAGATCATTATCATTCAATCTGTCTTGGATCAAATTGGATTGTACTAGAACCTGGTATAATCCAAATTTTATGATGTCCAAGTTGCTTGTTTTTCATTTAATCTTAACCATATTTTGTTTCTTCGTATTGCTTTTAGTTTGCGTCTTTTTCAATTTTAACTTTTGGGGTCTGGACAATTTTTTTCTTAGTTAGTGAAGATGTTAAACTGATGATATTTAGATGGCCACGAAAGTTCCCCTCTGCCCCTTTCACATCTCCCACAGTAACACCAGACACAATGGGCCAAATCGGGCTATGTCAGGTTTCACATCTCCCTTAGGGTTGTTAATGGAGTACTCTGAAAGTCTAATACCTTATTCCACTTTAAATTCGACTATTTTGGATTGAGATGTTAGAACTTTTGTTTCATTAATAATTAGATTCGATGTGGATTTAACTAGGGGTGAGCAAGAAAAATCGAAAAACCGAATCAAACTGAAAAACCAATTGAAATCAAACCGAAAAATCTGTTTAACCGAATCGATCGGTATACATATATTTTGTATATTTTATGTACATTTATGTATATTATATATATTTTTATATATTATAAATTAATAAATATGTATTATATATAAATATATAATATATTATTTATTATTTAAAATATAATATTATATATATATTTTTAGTTTTTTATTATATATTTTTATAATATATATTATAAATATAAAAACCGAAAAATTGATAAACCAAACCGGTCAACCGGTTAACCGATCGTCTTTGGTTTGGTTTTGATTACCCATTTTCCAGAAACTGATAATACCGGTTCGGTTTCAAAAATAGGCCCGCACCCCTAGATTGATCCCATTCAAATTCGAATCCAATAAAAAGTTATTATATATACATATATAACTTAAAAAACAATTAGTTATTTACACTTTTTGAAGTTCTGATCATTTTGAATATAACAAGATGGTTGTGAATTAAATCTGATTCTAATCCAAAATTCAACATTCCGATCCAGTTATCATGCATGGGTGTGATGATAAATACATCAATGAATAATCACTCTGAAATTTGAAGTCTATATTCTTTGTTTGGTTAGGGTTGGACTGGTGAAAGAATTCATTGGTTGGATGGTTAGAGGCCAGGAAAGCTCAGTGAGATAAAACGCGTAATGACAGCACAGCTTTTATTAATTTATAGAGTGTTTGATGGTTAGAGACGTCAAGTAAAGCTGGCTTAGATTCTACAACTTTTCAGTTTGGATTTGAGGCGATCTATTTCCAGTTGTTCTCCTAAAAACTAGCTCTATACTTTCTACAGAAACAATAGCTAAGAAATCCACCATAGCAAGTTATTATTAACCATGGAAATTAAGGAAAGATTAATACTAATTCATCAGCTGCTATGGAAAGACGTGTAGTAGAACTAGAAATCTTTGTTCACAAACTTGGGAGCTGAAACTCTTTATGAACGTAACCAGTTAACCACCCATCTAACTTTGGAATGAGAAGAGATTTCATACCTGCAGAGAATAATATATCAACTCCTATCTTTGGCAAGCAAATTTTGGTATCTCCCTTCAAATTATACATTTCCAAATTTGAGCTCCAGAAGGGTTTCTGAATTTAGAGTAGCACCTTCAAACAAGTCTCCTATAATTAAGAAGATCAACACCACGTTATTGCCACCATGAGGGATCACAAGGAGCTAGGCTTCACCATGGTTTTCATCTCTGTGCTACTGCAATACCTTGGGGTTTCCTGTTCATCATTTGGGTTGTTAGAGGATTTGGAAAAGAAGACTATAAAGAACGAGAAGAACAAAACCAATCCATGGTGCTCTGAACTTCCCGACGATATTATCGAACTGATCCTGAGGCGGTTAGATGTCCTCGACTACATCCGGTTCTATTCTGTGTGCAAGCTGTGGAGATCAGTTGCAGTTGGCATGGACTTGGGCTACTCTTTGTGTTGCAGAGGACTCCCATGGCTGATGTTCACTTGTGACGCAAAAACTCAGACTTACGGCTTCTTCAGTCTCTCTGAGAGCAGGAAATACTATATTCCACTGCCCACCGCCGGCGGCCTAGCGCACTGCTGTGGTTCATCTCAAGGCTGGTTGTTGATGTGCAACAGTGCCAGTGGTGGGTGTTTTCTCTTGAATCCCTTCTCAGGAGCTGAAATCAAACTTCCCAGACTCTCACCACCCTTGGCCTACAAGGTAATACTGTCCAATCCTCCTGTTTCTGATAACACCAACGATTTTATGGTTGTTGCCATGAATGCCACCCATCTGGTCTTCTGCAGACTGGGAGACCTTAAATGGACGCTTCTCCATCAGCCAGAATCTAGTTACAGTGATGCCATATATCACAAGGGAAAGCTTTATGCAGTAAACAGAAAAGATGAGCTTTGGGTGTTCCAGTTGCAGGGTCCACGTAGTCCTAGTGCCAGAAAACTGAAGATTCCTCCGGTGGATCTGGATCCTCGGCCACTTGGTCGATCTGATACCGAGATGATGACTAGGTACTTGGTGGAACCCAAGGAAAAATTGTTACTGGTTTATGGTTTCTTTCACTTAATTCGGACGCATGGCTATGATTCCACGCAAACCCATCGTCCTTGTTACTGTGACTGTGGCTGTGACTCCCCACACAACTTCATCTTCCAACCTCAACTCTGCGTCAAGTTCAAAATATATGTGCTGGATGAGGATAATATTAGTTCAGGATCAGGAGAGGGTGGTTATCAGTGGAACGTACAAGAAAGTTTGGGGAATCAAGCGTTGTTCCTGGGAAGAAATACCTCCAAATCTCTGTCTGCTACTGAGTTCTTGGGATTGAAAGAGAATTGCATTTACTTCACTCTTAATTTCTACAAGAAGTCATTTGATGAGTTCCATTACTCGGGCATCTATCACGTTGAGAATGGGATGGTTGAGAGTTGCTTTCCCTTTGATCCTGACACAGATATGGGTCCACCCATTTGGATTACACCTTCAAATTCAATCTGAACTGAAGTGATGAAGTGATGGATTCTTCAGTTCCGGTTCCTTTCTAATTTATTATTATTGATCACTTGAGCAATAAAAGATAAGAAGCTGTTTTTTGGTCTTATTTTCTGAGCTGTAGTCTGTAGAACTTGCTTTCTTTCCCTTTTTTTTTCAGCATTTTCATTAATACATACTGAAAACGGGTATATAATGGTGTGATTGTCTGAAAATGTAGAGCGTTCATGAAACATGTCAAATTAAACATTCTGGTTTTCTGTTTTCATTTATCTCCTACCAATTGGAAATGAAAGGGCTCATCTTAAAACAGGCCAGGCCGAGGCGTTTTTGAGTTCAAAATGAACATATGAAACAGCCACTGATTTTAAAATCTCAATCAGAAGCACCTGTTGGAGACACGTGGGGAAGTGGCAAAAAACTGGCTTTTTGGCATAAATAAAGGTCCAGGGTCTCCATCCATTGGGTGTAAATTTAAAAAGGGTCTGAACTTTCAAGAATGAACTTTAAAAAATATACCCTTGAAGTCCAACTCTGTTAAAACTGACGGCAAAGATTATAAAAATGACTATATGTTCTTTCGGTAGTGTAAAAATGCCTATGTTTAGATTCTCTTTTACTGATTATGTTTTTTGAGCTCAATTGTAATTTTTTTCTGTTTTTTGGCTTTAGTGGCATTCATGGTTTTCAAAATAAGACCGGACCAGAGGGTCGGACCGGAAAAGTTGGGAACCGGTCAAGTGACCAATTACGTTTTACCCCAGAACTATTATTTTATCAAAAACCATTGATTTAGTCAACAAATCACTAACCCAAACGATCAAACCATTCAACTGTTTTGACCTTTTTTTTTAATTGTTTTAATCTTTTGTCAAAACGGACCGTCCATTCAGTTTTGTGGAGAAATAGACTAGTTTTAGTGAAGTCCCTGCCATTATCAGTTGTTTTTTCCTTTTATTTAATTGTTATTATTTTGGGCCTATTATTATTTCTGTTTATTAGTTTTCTGGGCCTTACTGGGCCTATTGTTATTTCTGCCATTATTGACTAAGGAGTGAGTTGGGCGGTAGGGGCATAGGTGTCTTTATGTTCTTGTTTTTAATAAGAGTATATAAATATAAGTTATGGGCGGCAGAAGATCATTCTATTCTGCGCCCCTTTCTTCTTCGCTTCTCTTCTCCTTCTTTCTTCTTCCTTTTCTGTTATTTCTTTGTTTTACTGCTGAAGTTTCATCAGATTTCTGATCAATTGAGATCAACATAGCAAGGTTTAGGGCTTGCTAGGGCTCCTATGTAGGCTTCTTCCAGCCGACCACATGAGGATGCATTAGGGATGGATTCTTCAGACTGTATTGCCTGATTCTTGGAGGTTGATTGGAGGAATTCTTGCTGCTCAAGATCTGCAATCTTGGAGATCACCATTAACCAGGAAGAATCAGAGTTTATGGATCAGTTCAATTGGCATTGGCGCCCAGAGGTTTTTGGGTTAAAGATAGTTCCTTTTTTGAGATCGGCTGCTTGTAGGAAGAGATTTAACCCTTTTGGAAGGAGCGGCTAGTTCTTTTCCTTTTCTCTCTAGACTGATTCTAGGGTTTCTACTGAGAACAGGTCAGTTTAGTGTGCTTCGACCTATCCCATTTATTTCTTCTGCTTTGCTTTCAGTTCTGGACTGTTAAGGGAGTAATTCAGTCTTGAAGTTTGTATTGGATTACTGCTAAAGCTGTGTTTCAGATCCGTTAAGGGAGTTCTTTTCAGGTTTTTGTGGTGGGATAAGTATGGAAATAGGTGGGAAGGAACCAAAATCCCTTGGAGAAGGATCTGTGTGGGGTTTGGGAGTAATTCAGATAATACTTTTCAGATCACTACCCTTAAATTTGATGGCACAAATTACCTGGAATGGGTCCAATCAGTCATGATAGCCATTGGGGGAAGGGAAAAACTTGGATATGTAACAGGAGACATTAAAGAACTAGTAAAGGGAGACTCAACCTATGCAAAATGGGTTCAAGAAAACTATCTAATGATGACTTGGCTTTACAACTCTATGCAACCACACATCAGTAGAAATTATTTGTGGGTGCCAAGAAAATTTGGGAAAATAATGTTGCTGGGGCATATGAACTGAAAAGTAAAGTAAATAACCTTAAACAGGGGGAGAAACTTATACTAATTTACTTCTCTACCGTAAAATCTTTGTGGCGTGAGATTGATCACTTGGAGATCATTTAATAGGAAAGCCAAAAGGATGTAGCAACTTATAGGAATTGATAAAAAAAAAAAATATATAGCAACTTATAGGAAATTGGTTGAAACAAATAGGGTTTTTGAATTCTTTGCTGGACTAAATTAAAATTATGATATTGTAAGGCAATAGTTGCTCACCAGGGATAGTGTCACTTTGTCTCAAGCCTATTCACTAGCACATAGTGAAGAGAGCAGAAGAAAAGCTATGTTACAAATTCCTTCCATGGAATCGGCCTTGGCAACGATGAAGTCAAAATCTATTAGTGATAAGGAGAGAGAAATGAAAAGGGAAGACAAGAGGAATATGGTGTGTGATTATTGCAAGAAGCCAAAACACACTAGAAACACCTACTAGAAGTTGCATCCTCATCTTGTTCCAGCAAGATTCAAGAAGAAGAAGGGGAATGCCAATGCAACAGTTACTATTGATTGTGCATCATCTTTTATAAGAAAACCCACATCTCTAGATGCAATAGCTGTAGTTAGAGTTGGCTTGACTCAGTTAGAGTGTGAAGTTGGAGCTTCAGGATCATCTCAGTCTTCAACTGCAACATCTACTACTACTCTGACATTGGCTTTTGCTCACTTAGGCACTCGAGCTACTACATATCATGATTCAGCCCCAAGTAACATTAGCCATTTTTTGGTTGTTGATTCAGGTGCTTTTGACCATATGACTAGTTTATCCTCTATGTTTATTTCGTACTCCTTATCTTCGGGCAGAGACAAAGTTTCTATTGCAGATGACTCCCTTGTACCTATTAAATGTAAGGGAGATATCAGAGTGTCTGATACCATCTCATTATCCTCTGTATTACATGTCCCTAAACTTAGCACAAATCTTATTTTAGTTAATAGTATTACTAAAAATAAAAAATTGCTCAGTAACTTTTTTTTCTTGATCATTGTATCTTTCAGGATCTACTGACAAGGAGGGTGATTGGAATTGGCCGTGCTTGCTTGAGCATCCACTTGAAGGAGCAAAGATGTTGGGAGGTCTTATGTGTCTCAATCTGCAAGTCAAATTATGCTTTAGCATAATCGATTGAGTCATTTATTTTTTGGGTCATTGAAGAGTCATTTTCCTATTTTGTTTGAGTCTGTCCAATTGTCTAGCCTAAGGTGTGAGAGTAGTGAACTTGCAAACCATTGTAGATCAACCTATTCTTTGCGTAATAAAAGAAGCATTGTTCATTTTGAAATTGTGCATACCAATGTTTGGGGACCTTATCACATTAATGCAATGGGTGGTTATAAATATTTCCTTCTATTCATTGATGACTATTCTCGTTTTTCTTGGATTTACCCTATGTAGTCTTGAGATGAGGTTCCTACTCTAACCTGTGCATTCCACCAGATGATTTTAACCCACTTTGGTTAAGGCTCAAAATTCTCAGATCTGATAATGCAAAGGAATATTTTGCAAAGTCCTTGGCCTCATATCTACTCGAATATGGAATTATCCATCAGAGCACCTGCCCCTGTACACCTCAGTAGAATGGAGTAGCTGAGAGAAAGAATAGCCACATTCTTGAAGTTGCTAGGAGCATCATGTTAACTTCTAATGCTCCCATTCATTTTTTGGGGGATGCCATCCACACAGCTGTCTACTTTATCAACGAAGTTCTTTCATTGGTTTTAGACATGAAAGCACATTTTAACCTATTATACCTGATAAAAACCAGTTCACTATTCCCATTAAGACATTTGGGTGCATTTGCTTTGTTCAAATCATTGGGCATCATTGTTCTAAATTTGATCATAAGGCAGCCAAGTGTATTTTTCTTGGGTATGCACAAAATCAAAAGGGGTATTACTGTTATGATCCAGTCTCTGTGACTAGGTTTGTGTCTATTGATGTTACATTCTTTGAGGATGTCCCTTATTACTCCAGGACTTCACCCCAGGGGGAGAGTGGTGAGCAAGATGTTTTTGCTTAGTTCCATTGCCTATTCCTGTCTATGAAGAGGAGTGTAGGGAGGGGGGATACCAAAAGTGTAAAGGGTTGAGAGTGTTTCACAAACGATGGTGGAAGCAGGTTGGTTCCAGTAATGAACAGTCCGGGCCACCTCCAGTATCCACTGCGACACTAGATTCAGGTATTTCACCCTCTGTTCCTACTACTTCTGTAGATGATATGCCTACTATTACCACTGAACCTCAACCTCCTACAAATGATCTTGACCTTCCTATTGCAATACACAAAGTAAAGCGTCACTGCACCTCATCTACTACCCATTGCATCTCTCAATTTCTTTCTTATGACCATATTTCACCATCATATATGCCTTAGTAGTACCTGAGTGAAAGGAAGCAATGAAGGGGTTGAATTATTCGAAGATAAAGCCATGTACCAACGAATGGTTGGAAAGCTTCTTTACCTCTGTCTGACACACCCAGATATTTCTTATCTGTTAGTGTTGTCAGTCAGTATATGCAGTTTCCCAAAACATTCCATCTTGCAATTGAGAAGATACTTGCCTACTTAAAAAGGTGTCCAAGCAGAGGTATACTCTTCAAAAATAATGGTCATATGAAGATAGAAGTGTACACTGATGCAGACTGGGTTAAATGTGTGGATGATAGGAGATCTACCTCAGGGTACTGTGCTATTATTGGGGGCAATCTTGTCTCCTGGAAGAGTAAGAAATAAATAGTTGTTGCCCGCTCCAGTGCTGAAGTAGAATACAGATCTATGGCTAATGGGGCGATTGAAGTGTTGTGGTTAAAATCACTAATTGAGGAGTTGGAGGTTGAATATAAAAAACCTCTAATGTTGTATTGTGATAATTAGACTACTATCAATATTGCTCATAATTCGATACAACATGATAGAACCAAATATATTGAGGTGTATTAGCATTTTGTCAGGGAAAGAGTTGCCTCCAAAGAAGTGTGCCTTCCTTATGTTGCCTCCGATATACAGCTGGCCGGTCTCTTCACCAAAGTAGTTACAAGAGTCTAATTAGAGACAGATTTATGCAAGTTGAGAATGACTAATATTTATTCCCAACTTGAAGGGGGAGTGTGGGGAAATAGATTTAGTGAAGCCCCTACCATTATCAATTGTTTTTTTCCTTTTATTTAATTGTTATTATTTTGGACCTATTATTATTTCTGTTTATTAGTTTTCTGGGCCTTACTGGGCCCATTGTTATTTCTCTCATTATTGACTAAGGATTGAGTTGGGCGGCAGGGGCATAAGTGTCTTTATGTTCTTGTTTTTAATAAGAGTATATAAATAAAAGTCCTGGGCGGCAGATCATTCTATTCTGCGTCATTTTTCTTCTCTTCTCTTCTCCTTTCTTCTTGTTCTGTTATTTCTTTGTTTTACTGCTGAAGTTTCATAACCGGACCCCTGACCAATTTGTTGTCCGGTTCGATTTTAAAAACCTTGGTGACATTTGTAGGGAGTTAAGTTACTTTAGCTCTCAATGCTACATAACGTTTTGGGTTCCACATGTAAGGTCAGGAGCCACCGTGTGAAAGCCCACCCAAACGGAAGACCAGGAGACTACTTGTTAACAGATTGTATTTTATTATACTAATTACTACATTATATTATTATTGGTGTAGATGCTGATGCAAACAGCTTGATCGGTAATCGTATGAATCAGCTAAATGAAGATCAGGTCTGTCGTATTAAATACACTCTGAAATGCCTAAAATAATCGAAGCATCATAGATGATGAGTGATAAATCTGAACTGGATTTTTGCAGCCGATCACATTATACCCAGAAAACATGCTTTCTCGCTTTTGTACTTGGAAAAATTGATACAAGTTACATAACACGATTAAGAACCTACTTGCAAAAGTTACATAAGAAGTACCTAAAGGATTCCACATCCTGGTCACCACAGGCAGTTAACAGAGACCACGAGTCATTTTTGCAGAAATGTTCTGCTTGAACTATTCTGGCTCCTTTATCTAAAGGTGGGATTAAGAAACTTGGGAATTCCACCAAGAACCAATACTACTGCTCAATTATTCGACTTACAATCCCAACAGCAATAGTTCTTCCTGATGATCGTAGGAAAACCCGCCCAAGAGCTCGACATTTAGAGAATTCTTCTACACAAACAGCTCCATCCAGTACCACCTGAAGTTTTGAGATAAAAAAGAAATCAAATTAGATTTGGCCTGCTGCTGGCACAAACTGTTATCTTGATATTTGTGTATATAACATGTCTTACTAATCCTTTCAACCTATATAGACGAGCTTTTAACCATAACAAACGTAACCATCTCAATTTGATTTTACTAAAATCCCATGCGACAAAATCATCCAACATATAGAAAGGAAGGGGGGGGGGTAGTGGGCCCACTGGATTAACCACATGTTTAATCTCCCGGTTGATGTCAGCCCTATATCCAACTATGTTTGATGGATTTCCCAATTGTTCTGTTAGCTGTTCAAAGTTTAAAATTTTCAAGTCAAAGTTGGCAATGGAAGATGATTATTTTCACATGTAGCCGGGTTTTCCTAGTTCTCATCACCCCCAAGGATGCGCAGACATGCCAACAATGCAAATTTGAAAGTGGCCACTCTCTCAAACCCACATTACCACATTTGTCAGTTACCATTATACCAATGCATAGATGTAATACACACACACACACGAAGAGGTAAAGAGAGACGATTGTTAATACAAGGACAAGACTGCAAACCAGAGAATCTACTGAAAATGGAGCCCATAATTAACTTGCAGAGCCAATGAACAATATATTTCACCATAGGGATGGAACGGCAATCTGTCATCTTACCTCTATCACTGCACTCTGCTTAGATGTAAGACAGCGAGGTGCCTTTTTTGTCACTTTGCCCGTCTTCTGATCAATCAAAGATATTATCCTCACCACTCTTGCAGCCTCTTTTGCATGGTATATATGAAATTCTATCTGCTCATCCATATTAATTCAAATCATTTGTCAATGATCAAAAATATTATCATAATAGAAGAATGTGGTAGGATTAACCGCTATGCCTGGGGAGCAGGATGACACGTGATTTTGAAAGAGTCTTCATCTAGAGAAAAGAAGGGTAGCCTTATCTATAGAGGAATGAACCCCAAGGTGATTGGATGATCAATCAAAGTTTTCGTATATAGGATGTAGAGGATCAAGTTGAAGGTGTACTTTAGGGCTGAAACCAAGAAGGAAGAAATAAAGAAGCAGAATGTTTAAAAGTGATCTGTAGGCTGACCCATTTCCTTCCTCTGGGTGGTGGACCAGCAGTTCAACTGTCTGAAATGGGTCAACCCAATGACATCATTATATTCTTCATATAATATGTATTTTATATTAGTTTTATTTTTTTATAAATTAAGAAAGCTAAAATGAGCTTTGAGGACAAAAAAAGAATTTTTGGCAAAATTACTGGGTCAAGATGCCTTTGGCACCTTGCATTGCATTGATATCGTGCGAAGTTACCCAAGATTAAAAAACATCCGGATCTGACCACTGAGCACAAAGTTATGCCTCTGGGTGTTTTTTCTTTTTCCTTTTATTTTTGTGGATGGGCTAGGGTGACCCATCTTTTTTCATTTCCAGTTTTCCACCTTCGAGAATGTGAAAAGGCACACCAAAACCAATGGTCACAATGCCTGCATAATTAGGTATTCAGTATTTGGGTTGAGTGTCAACAATGGGTTGAAATTATATATGTATAATTGCATAAAATAATACTTTCACAAATGCATAATTGTCAACAATAGATTGACAATTCAACTACCCATGTTGACATGTCTCTAACAAAGTCAACTCAAACCAAAATTGTTGCCGGGTGACTAGAGGTGTAATGTGGGTCATGTCAGGCCAGCATGGTCCACTTTTGTGGGCTACCTGCATTGTAACTGGGATGGCCCATGGCACGAGCCTAGGTGAGCCTGTACCGTGGGCAGCACAACTTTTTTTAGAAAATTGAAAAACAAATGAAAAAGTTAAAATAAATTAACAAGATAAACAAGAAATAAAAAAAATCTTAAAATTTTATTCCATATGAATTTCGATGTATACATTTATTTATATATGAAATAATAGAATAAAATTGAAAACTAAAAATTTTATACATATATATGTATATATATTATTATATTATTATATATAATTATGATATATATATATATATGTATATATACAAATTAATAATATATTAATATATGTACGTCATGCCATTATTAGGCTGCAAGCCATGCTGGCAGAACCCACTTTTTTGTGCCAGCCTATGGGTGGCCTGACCCACTTTACAGCTCTATGGGTGACGGTTCAAACACCTAACAATGCGCTAAAAACAACAAAATGAATTGGAAAAGCTGAAAGTGTGATATTGTACATGATAGAGAAGAAAGTGGGAAGGCGAGGAAGAGGGGAGGGCGATAGAAATTTTTTAAAAGAGGAATCCAACAAAATCGTTGATAAATCATTTTTGCCAATTAGTGTGCAAGGATTGAAAATAATGCGTAAAAAAGGATGGGTATGCAAATTGGAGAAATCATCAGACTTCCTTTGGGATCAAGAAGTTACCAAAACGGACCATCTACTTAATTAGATTGCTATATGTAAGAGCAAGAAGGAAGGGGGCCTAGGAGTGGGGAACCGGAGCAGAGTAGAACCCCCTATTTGCTAATATTGTTCATTCATTCATTGCAATAAAATATCTTCTTAAAAGGCAATGAAAGTTATAAAATCATTATTTTTTATGTGAGAAATAAGAATTTCAGACCCTAACATGGACTTGTTCGAGCTTGCCTCGAGGGGCGTGGTCAGGGGTTTGGGGGCAGAGCCCCCGGCCCAGCCATTAGACTCAAAAAACAGCAAAAAGTGCAAAATTTTAAAAAGGCGCACGCCTGGGCTGAGGCACAAGGCACATCAGGCGCACACCTAGGCACACCAGGCATGCGCCTTTTGAAAGGGGTGCACCTAGGACCTGGCGAGGCGCATACCCCAAAATGTGCCTCGCTTGTGCGCCTAAGCGCGCCTTTTAAATCAATGAGCCTGTGATTTGGGTCTTTTATCTTGCACCTCATTCTTCACATCAATCTCTTTGGATCCTTCCCCCACAATTCCTTTGTGGGAGGTGGTACATGAGAAATCAACACCTGTGAGCATCTACAAAGAAAAGGCCTAACAGGTATATCTCAAATAAAATGTCTATTTTATGTAGAGTAAGTTATGAGATGAGATTAGCTTACACTTATTTGGATGCAGGTGGAACTAGAGCACCTATCTTATGGACAACGTGGGAGGAAAGAAATGCACAAATATTTAAATTGAAGACCCAAACTAAGGAAGCATTAATGGAGAACGTTATAGTGAGGACACATCAGGCAAGAACCTTGTTGAGTTTTTCCTTTTATCCACCAAAGATATCTGGAATTGGCAAGTGATTGTTGAATCCTCTACACCAACAGCACAAGTAGCCACTCCATGGATACCTCCTGTTAAATTACAAGTGCTGATTGTAGGGGTTTTTTTGTCATTTTCATTTATTTTCCCTTGTTAGTTATTTGCCTTTTTTCTTTTTAGAGGTAATCTTGTAATTTCAGTTTTATTATAATAAAGGAAAAGTGGGACAGCAGTTAGAAATCAAGTTCTGTTCGATCTCAACCTGCTTCAAGCCTTCACTCTTTAACTTCTTCTCTACTCCTCTCCTACTTCAGTCTGAACCAGATTTGGACTGTAGCTAGGATTTTTTAGCATCTTATTTAATTTGTTATGTTCTGATATCATGGTATAAGAGCAAGATTAGCGACTTGGACTAGTAAGGATAACACAACAGAAATCGATCTCTTTTCTCTCACCATAGTTGGAAGAAGGGAAAAGCAACCAGAAAGGACTGACTGCCCACTAGTGAAGGAGGCCTTCATGCCTCAGGTTGCAACGTTTATGGTGGTTTCAGTGGTTTCTAGTCTCCCTCTAATTGGCAGTTCAAAGAGGATCTGATGGTGAATAGTACAGCCGTACAGGTTAGTTTATGTTTCTTTTGTTGTTTCCATTCGTCCATTGAAAGGTGGGTGGAAATAGTGTGGAAGCATGAGCTTTTATCTACTATTCATGTTGAGATTGGCTATGCTTGTAAAAGGTGTTTCATAGAGTGGGGCAGTGCACATAAGAAACTTCAGGTCGATAAGTTTAATAAGCAGTCCATACAAATTATTGGCAAAGATGTTAGAAAGCAGGTTAAAAAGGGTGATCATGAGGTGGTAGGGGAATCTCAGATGGCCTTCGTAGAAGGAGGGCAAATTCTGGATAGGGTACTGGTGGAGAGAGAATGTATTGACTCAAGAATAAGAAGTGGTAGGCCAGGATTAGTGGGTAAATTAGATATAGAGAAAGCTTACGACCATGTGGAGTGGGGATTTTTGGAAGAGATGTAAAGACTAATGGGGATTGGGGAGAGTTGGGGGGGCTGGATGTATGGTGTATATCTTCAGCCTCATTGCTAATTAATGGAGTGTCAACTGAATTTTTCCAATCTCCCCCTTGCTGTTTGGATAGAAGGCTTTAGTGTAGGAGTAGAAGGCCCATGTATCTCTTACCTTCAATATGCAGATGACACATTAATATTTATAGATGCTTCAGTTAACCAAATACTGAACCTAAGAGCTATCTTGGCTAACTTTGAGATGCTGGCCAATAGGGAGGAGCAATTTGCAGTGGTGTTGGGTTGTAAGGTTGGAGAACTACCTTTCCACTATCTTGGGCTGCTGGTGGGGTCTAGTACAACAGCGGTTAATATATAGAAGCCTCTTATAGAGAGAGTTGAGAGGAGATTGGACAGATGGAAGGCTAAATATCTCTCTTTGGGAGGCAGCATAGTTTTCAAGGTGCCAAGGCGAGGCTAGGCAACAGGGCGCCTAGTCGCCTAGGCAATGGATTTTTTTCAAGTAAAAATATGTATCCTAGGGTAGTTCCCTAGGTTCCATAATCATATTTCCTTAATAAATATCCATAATTTTCATAAGATAAGTATAAACTTCATGTTAAAGTATAGAAAATCAACATATTCCAACATATTCATGAGAAGAAAAAAAAAGAAAGAAAAGAAAATTCAAAAAATATAAGGGCTGAACCCCTATTTCTGTTATAGGAAAAGAAGAAAAGAAAAGGTGGAAGAAGAAGAAGAAGAAATTAGTATATAAAAACACAAAATTAGTAAAGAAAAAGAAGAAAATGTGTTGATTGGACAACATTTTATGTTCATTCTTGCTTATTGGTTCAGGTTTTGAAGTCTTTGAGGGTTCCATACAGCATTTAGCAATGTTTGTGTTGATTAAATCCTAACAAATAAGAAAATAGCAAAAAGAAATTAGTACATAAATACACAAAATGAGTATTTTAGTTTAAAAATGTCTATTTTATAATTATAACCTCAAAAAATTAAGAATATAAAAGTTTGTTATAACACACTATAGAAAACTGCTTGGTGATTAGGCGAGGCGAGACTCCAAGGGCGCCTTGTCGCCTAGTCACCTGCCTAAGTGTCGCCTTGACAACTATGGGAGGCAAGAATTACTCTCATAAGGAGTGTTCTATCTAGCCTACCAACTTATTACCTCTCATTGTTAAAGGTTCCTAAGGAGGGGGCTATGAAAATTGAGAAGATTCAGAAGGATTTCCTATGGGAAGGGATGGGGGGTGGGGGAACCAAAAAGTTTCACCCGGTCAAGTGGGAAAAGGTTTAAAGGAGAGGGGGGGGGGGTTGAGAAGGATAAAACCATTTAACAAGGCATAACTAGGGAAATGGTTGTGGATATTTGGGCAAGAGAGAGAGAGAGAGAAAGGGAAGCCTTATGGAGGAGGGTGGTGGTTGGAAAATATGTAGTAGTAAGGTTTGGGTGGGAACCAAGAGGAGTTCATATGGGGTGAGTGTTTGGAAAGGGATCATGAGATTTAACCAGGAGTTCAGGGGACTGATTAGATTCAAAGTGGGTGTCTGGGTGATGGGTCAAAAGTTAAGTTTTGGGAAGATGAATGGCTTGGGATAGGAAACTTTGTGAGGTTTGTCCAAGGTTATACAGGTTGACTGAACAGAAAATCACAATTAATCAGTGCTATGAATGGAGATGGAGTAGCTGATTTGGAACCCAAAATTTAGAAGACCTTTGACCAAGAAGTAGAAGAATGTATCCTGCTGTTGGAGAAAGTAGAAGGCATCTATATCTCTAGGAGACTAGGACCATAGGAGATGGCTTATGGTGGAAAGAGTGCAAAGAAGGAAGATTCTCAGTGAAGTCATTCTACAAGGCCCTAGTAAAAGAGAGTTTGGAGCTAGAGCAGATAAAAGGTGTGTAGGGTAACCCAGTACCCCCAAGGATAGAGGCTTTTGCTTGGTTGGTAGCACATGACAGCATTCTTACTACAGATCATTTGAAGAATAGAGGATTTCACATGGCAAGCTACTGTTATTTTTGCAACTTGGAGGACAGTCCTTCATCTGTTCTTTTCATGCAGTGCAGCAAAATTTATATGGAAGTGCTTCTCCTTCCTGTTTGGAATGTCTTTCAACCATCATCCCCAACAGAAATCTTTTCCAAACGGCCAGAACTTAGAGGAAGCAAGATACCTAGAATCCTGTGGAGCTGCATTCCATTTGCAGTCTGCTGGGCCATATGGAATGAGAGGAATAGAAGGGTTTCTGAAGACAACTCAAAAACCATTGATCTTCTGATAGCTGCAGTGAGTAATCTGATATCAGACTGGGTTCTTTGGCTGCCAGAGTTCAATCAAGTGAACAAAGCCGATGTGTTAGAGAACATAGTTGTCAAGGTGTTGCCTAGGTGCCCACCTAGGCAACTGAGTGCCTTGCCCAAATGCCTTGACTTTTAGCAACTAGGCACCTGCCTGGGCAACAAAAATGACTAGGCGGCCGCCTTTTATAATATCATTTATATTGCTGTATTTTATTAATGTATGTGTTAATAGATTTTACTATATGCTATATATATCAATATACTTTGCTTTAATGTTTTACCATTGAAATTTAAAAGATCAAAGGGTTTTGAGGAGAGAAAAAGAAAAAATAGAAAGAGGAAAGAGAGAACAGAATTATAAAGAGGTTCGGTTTTTTCTATTCTCTCTCTCTAATTAAATAAAACAAAAACGACATCCTTGTTTTTTCTATTTTACTTTCCATCTTGAGTATTTATCATATAAAATTAACCTTGTTCAGCTGCTAATTGATATGAAAATTCTCTATTAAATCCTTATTATAGCAGTATTATTTTTTAAAATAATTAAATTAATATATGTAAAAGATTTTTATCATTTAGATGTGATGATTTGCCACATTGTTGGAGGAAATTTAATGTTCTTAATAAAGAGAATTGCTATTTTTTTTTTCAATTAATATACCTGCTGAATGGTATATAAAACTAGGGAACTAGCCAAAAGTTAGAATTTTATATTATAAATTTTTTATCGCCTAGGCAACTAGGCACCCTAGTGTCGCCCAGAATCACCAAGATGCCTTGAAAACTATGTTAGAGAACTTTTGGAGTACTCTTGAGTTGCATCCTTGTAATGAAGATTTATTTTTAGTTTGAGTGGTGTAACTTTGGTTGGTTTGTCAACTTAACAACCAACTAATTTGTATCATACCTATTTTTCAGTTTAATGAAGTTTTTTTATTTTTACTTATCCTTCAAAAAGAAAAAATATACGTTTCTTCGTGCATTTTGATAGTCTGCACCTGTAACGTTAGTGCTCTCAGACCAATACATGATCAATATTTGAAGGTTCTCTGGTCTAGAAGTTCTGTTTTTTATTTTTTGCTGTTCAATAACATGCCGGCTTTGTTATTAAGGTTATGACAACCTCTAGTATTGAGAACAAGTCAAGTGTAGTGATTCAGCCAAACTTCATGGCCGTACAGAACTAGAGATGACATCAGTTAAGCTCAATGGTACAAATTATGTACCATGGGCAAAATCAGTTGAGGTAAACTTGACTGTGAGGGATAAATTGAAATATATTAAGGAAAATAGACCAGATTCAAGAGTTGCTGGGTACAATGATTGGATACAGCAGAATGAAGAGATTATGACGTGTCTTTGGAATAGTATGGAACCAGACATTAGCATGAATTTAATGTTCTTTTATACTGCTGAAGAACATTAGCATGAAACAATCTCCGAGAGCCTGATTTGGAAGATTTAGTAGTGTTATACAGCAGTTTTTGGTAGTTTTGTGTTGATGACATTATTATTGCTGGAAATGATAAACTGGGTATTGAAGAATTGAAACAGTTTTTACAGAACCAGTTCTAAACTAAGGACTTGGGGCACTTGAAATATCTTTTTAGGTATAGAAGTAGCAAGGTAAAAGTGGAGAATCTCTATCTCACAAAGTATGCGCTTGATCTGTTGGAAGAGATGGGTCTATTAGGGGCAAAACCAATAGATACCTCTATAGATCCGAATGTAAGGATGTCTAATAATGAGGGAGAGTTTCTAGTTGATCCCGGAAGGTACAGGAGATTAGTAGGGAAACTGATTTACCTCACAATTACAAGACCAAATATCTCCTTCAATGATGGATTGCTGAGCCAGTTTATGCAAAATCTGATGTCGATCCATTGGGAAGGTATCCTTAGAGTGCTACATTATTTAAAGGGTGCTCTAGGTCAAGACTTGTTATATAAGAGGGGAAGAGAACACTCTTTATAGGGATATATAGATGCTGATTGGGCAGGATCAGTCACAAATAGAAGGTCTACAACAAGTTATTGCACATTCATGGTAGGCAATTTGACTACTTAGAAGAGTAAGAAGCAGAGTGTTGTGGCTAGGAGTAATGTTGAGGTAGAGTTCAAAGCCATGGCCCATACTACTTGTGAGTTGATGTGGCTAAAACAACTATTATTTAAGATAGGAGTGACTATTTCAACTCCCATTAAGTTGTTTTTTGATAATCAAGAAGCCACACACCTTTCCTCCAATCCAGTGTTTCATGAGAAAACCAAACATATAGATGTGGATTGCCACTTTGTGTGGGAAAAAATGTTAGTGGAGAAATAGTTACACCCTACGTGAAGTCTAAAGATCAGCTAGCCAACCTCTTTGCCAAAGGATTAAGTTAGACACGGATGAGATACATTTGTAACAAGTTGGAACTTCATGATATATATGCTCCAACTTGAGGGGGTGTTAAATTATAAATGCTGATTGTAGGGGATTTTTTGTCATTTTCATTTATTTTCCCTTATTAGTTATTTGCCTTTTTTCTTTTCAGGGGTAATCTTGTAATTTCAGTTTTATTATAAAAAAGGAAAAGTGGGGCAGCAGTGAGAAATTAAGTTCTGTTCAATCTCAACGTGCTAGGATTTTTTAGAATCTTATTTAATTTATTATGTTTTGGTATCACCCACTACACATCATTTCATTAAGATGAATTTTGATAGATGTAGCTTGGGCAACACAAGGAACTCAAGGATAGTAGTACTTAGTAGCTGTAATGGAATAATGGATATGTTTTCGGGTCTTGACTGTTATGATGGTTGTACATGGCTTATGATTGGGCAAAACCTTCAATTCAACGATGTCAAAATCTTACGATTTATGATATGATTCATGATTTGAATCATGAATCCCAATGGTTTCGATTCACATCTTATGTCAAAATCATTTTCTACAAAAATCTTACAATTTTTGTTTGAATCTTACGATTTATACAATTCCAACAATTCATTGTAGTTCAAATAAATTCAATTAAGAATCAGTTTTCTACTTTATCATTTATGTTTATATTTAATTTTATCAAGACTTGTTTTAGAGCCCTTACTAGAAAATGGTTTATTTACATTATTTAAGACCATCATTGAGTTTATTTTGCATCATATATAGTTTTAAGGGCCATTATATGTGAATTTATTTGAGTTTCAAGTCAAACTTGATTATATCATCTTGGGCTTCTATTGTATAAATGGTAAATTCTATTGTTTTAGGTACATATGTGGTAGATATGGATTAACAATAGGGTAAAATCACTTTCCTATATATATTTAGCCTTTTAATATATCTATATTTAATTTTTTTTGACAAGTTTGTAAAAGTAGAAATAATCTTATGGTTTACAATACGATTCACGATTCACGATTCAATTTGATTTTCTCTATGACTTACGATACCATTATGATTTCCTAAACATTGCTTCAATTACAGAAATATTATGGTGGAGGGTGACTCAAATAGTGGTGGGACAGTTCAGACATAACACAGGGGAAACATGGGAATATAAATCATGCAGGGAGTAAGAAGAATGACAGCTGAACTGAATGTCGCATCCCATTTGGAATGGATACATATATGTGCCAATAGCATGGCTGATATGGGGGGAGGGAGGTTCCATTGGGAACTGGATGCGAGTAAAATTTACAAAACTCGGGTAGGTGGGAATCTACCTTAAGAAAAAGGGTTCATGGCATATCACAATTGTACAGCATTATTTTTTCTAATAAAATTCTTGATTGTTTACTGATAAAAAAAGTACTTGGGATTGGCTCATGGATTTTACTTCAGAAAGAAAGGTTCTAACAAATTTTCTGCCTTTAGTGATGTCAATATGGAAAAGAATGGAAGATATATTTCTGGAAACAAGATAACATCAGGGGACATATTTCTCTAAAACTTTCAGCATTCTCTATTTTTGGTCATCTAATCTAAGGTTTCTAGTGCCAGAATTTTAGCTTTGTTTGAGATGGTTTCTACATGAGATTGACTTGGATGTGTAGATAATTTTGTACTGTTGATTTTGATGTGTTATACATGTAAATCCTTTCTGGGGCTTGTGCCCTTTATATTTAATATATATACTTTTAAAAATACAGATAAAAAATAAAGTGGAAAATCAGTGGTTTCGAGAATACAAACCTGAGAGCCAACTAGGATTGGCATTACAATATCCAAGACAAGAACCTTCAGCTCTAAACGGGTTGCAACTGCCACAGGGAAATCTGGGTGGCATAGAACTCCACCAGCCATTACACGGCCTCCATCAATACCTTGAAGACTGACAGCCACATTGTCTCCAGCTCTTGCTATGGTGCAACACTGAGAATCTCGTTCTAGGGAACGAACTGTTGCTACATCTCCTGAAGGCATCACTAGAACCTAGACCAAACATACTTATGATGATGACACCGTAGTGGTACAAGTAATCAAAAATACATGTGATGCAGATAAAGAAGCAAAGAAAGAATTTATGAAGATATAAATCAGTTTTTCAATTCATATACCAATTTTAGAATTTGAGTGAAAATATTGGAATTTTTAATTTTTAAATTTATTTTCTAGTTATAGGTGTCTTAAGATCCTAGACTTTTACTATTATTAGTAAATTGAAATTACTATTTACAGTGATTTTTGGATCAGTAATTTAACAGGCGCACCTAGATGCACAGGCAAGGTGCACTTTAGGGTTTGCACCTCACCAAGGCCTAGGTGCAGCCCCTTTGAACAGGCACTCACCTAGTGCACCTGGTGCATTGTGCCTCAGCCCAAGCATGCGCCTTTGTTAATTCTTGCTCTTTTTTGTTTTCTGAAGCATGGTGCCCCCGGACCCCCAAGCCCCTTGAGGCAAGCCCAAACAAATTCGAGAACCCCCTATCTACTAATGTTATTCTTTCATGCATTTTTTCTTTTAAAACATTGTTTGGGCTTGCCTCAAGGGGCATTATACAAAGGCGGCTCATACAATTAGGAATGAAACATTTTAACTGATACAAAGGCGGCTCATACAATTATTGTTTGCATTTTAACTTTAATTTATTTAGAATTTTTTTACATTTTTGCAAATTTTTACTTTAATTTTGTACTTTGCTCCAAAAAGGCAAGCACCGCCTTGCACCTTGGGCACAAAAAGCCCTTTGTACTTTTTTTGTGCCTTGTGCTTTCAAAACATTGGTCTAGACTTGATAGTGTAAAATCACATTTTACTATTTTTAGTATTCCTGGTGCTTTTATATTAGTTTTAGTAAGACTGCTTAAGTGTTATTGGAATTATTTTAGGAGTTAGGGTCCTTGTTTGAGTGTTCCCATGGGCATAGTTTTCAAGGCACCAAGGCAAGGCTAGGCGACAGGGGGGCGCCTAGTCTCCTAGGCAATAGATTTTTTTTAAGTAAAAACATGATACTAGGGTAGGTTCCTAAGTTCCATAATCATATTTCCTTCATAAATATCCATAATTTTCATAAGAAAAGTATAAACTTCATGTTAAAGTATAGAAAATCAACATATTCCAACATATTCATGAGAAGAAAAAGAAGAAAAGAAATTTCGAAAAATATAGGGGCTGAACCCCTATTTCTGTTATAGGAAAAGAAGAAAAGAAGAAAAGAAAAGGTGGAAGAAATTAGTATATAAAAGCACAAAATTAGTAAAGAAAAAGAAGAAAATGTGTTGATTGGACAACATTGTTCTTTCTTACTTATTGGTTCAGGTTTTGAAGTCTTTGAGGGTTCAATACAGCATTTAGCAATGTTTGTGTTTATTAAACCCTAACAAATTAGAAAATAACAAAAAGAGATTAGTATATAAACACACAAAATGAATATTTTAGTTTAAAAATGTTTATTTTATAATTATAACCTCAAAAAATTAAGAACATAAAAGTTTGTTATAACACACTATAGAAAACTACTTGGCAATTAGGCGAGGCGAGACTCCAAGGGCACCTTGTCGCCTAGGCGCCCGCGTAGGCATCGCCTTGACAACTACGCCCATGGGTTACTTACGGATTTGAATTAGTTCTAAAGCAATACACACACACACACATGGATGAGCACTTTCATGTTTGAGTGTTCCCACGTGTAGACCATGAACTTAACCAACCCATTGTTTTAAGTTTTAACCAGCATGTATTACATGTTAGAACCATCTTATTGATCTTTTAATCAACATGCATAACACTGGATCTTTTCACCAACCCATGAACCATCATATTGATCTTTTAACCAGCAAGTATTACAAATTAGACTCCATGAATAATGAACTTATTGATGAGAACAACCATTCAATAATGTACTTAATAATATTTTACTTATTTTTTATTTGTACTCATTGATCTTTATCTAATTTACACATTATTGTTATTTATTTTTTATTTCTTTGACTATTTATATGACTAATTTTCTAAAAAAAGAATGACTAATTTTCTACTTTATTATTATTTAATTTTTATTATTTATTTGACTATTTTCTTCTATGACTGATTATTAATTCAATTTTCTGATTCTTTAGGAATAACTAATTGCCAATGATTGATTTTCTACATTATCTAAGTTGTACTTTATTGCTGTTCATTTTTTTACTTTACATTTTCTATAAATAATTTCTAATTTATTCTTTTTTATTATTTGATGACTGATTAGAATGCCTAATTTTATACTTCATTATTATTATTAAAGCTACTTTAACTTTTTGATCATTCTGTCTAATTTTCTAGAAAATCAATAGACCTTTCTTTGAAAAACTACTCTAGAAAACAAGTGGACATTAAACTGATTTTTACTTTTTTAGTGGTGATCTTGTTTTTGCTAGAGGTTAACTTTCTAGGGTTTCTTCTCACGCCAATCAGTTTGATCAAATGGAGATGATGTTCGCTATGGTTTCTAAGGTTTTATTATTTGTTTGTAGGATTTTGGTCTTTAATAGGGGATGTTCATTTGCTAGGGGTTCTTGCATGAGTGGAGATCATTTTTATCATTTTCTTAATTCCTCCTGACTATTGTTTGTTGCTTAGTGTAGGTGAAGGAGTGGTAGCGTGAGGAAATCTCTTCACTAGGTCATGGCTGGTAGTGTCAATGATAATTGCTTTGATTAATGTTACTCCCCCCTTCACAACCTAAGAGATCTACTATTCTATGGATTTCCTCTTGCATATTTATTTATTTTTTATTGGCAACACAGAATTTATTTCATTAATAAGATCAGGCATGAATACAACAAGAGGTTGTGAAAAAGGAAAAAACACAGCTGTAGAAAAAATGACCCAACCCAATTACCCAAGTCATACAATTGTGCCCAAAACACTTGACTTCCTTGTACCCCTTAACTGTGATTGCCATATGCTTTGATAACCATTAAAATTGCCTGAATCCATTCCTCAAGTGCCATGTCAACCCTTCCCCCTCCTTCATCCATTTACAACAGTTCTCGAATCACCCTCAATGATTGGTCTATCAATGCCCAGCTCTTTTACCTTCTAGACCCAATGTACTGCAGCTAATAGTTCTGCTCTTGCCACATCGCCATGTCCAGCAGGTCCAGAATATAAGGCTATGATGTTTCCTTCCTCATCCCTAATGCCCCCCCATACCTGAGGGGCCCAGATTACCCAGATAACTCCCATCAAAGTTCAAATTCTTCCAGCCACATAATAGAGGTGACGTCCTCTCAATGGATTCCTGTCTTCTAGATGAAGAGGCAGCAATAGCAGCCTAAGCCCTAAAGAAGTCTTCAACCTTAAAGTCTGAAAAAAGTTTCAAACTTTTTGCCCAGTGTGCCACTCGTAAGGTTATGATTTCTACCAAGGCTTCCTTGCTCCTTTCTCCGTCTTCAAATATTCATGAATTTCTTGCAAATTTATCCCTGAACATAGCTTCCCTAGATTAACCTTCAATTTTGAAAGATTTTTCAACTGAGCTAAGAAGCTCCTTTAGGTTCCTTAGGGAAGAAAGGCCATCATCACAAAATAGGATTACATCATACGCAAGCAGTAGATGGATTTTGGCATTTGTGTCTTTTCAAAATCATTCTCTGCACATGCTATTTTATTTATTTATTTATTTTTTACTTTTTTAAATATACAAATACCCCATGCATCGTATAGGCAATCTGCTAGTTATAAGTTATTTTGGATCAACGTAACAACTATAGTTCTTCTCTTCCTTTCTAATATCTTGTCAATTCCTTGGTGGACAGAAGGCTGTCTACTTGCTTCACCATCTCTACTATTCATCATTAATCACCCATATCTCCTTTCATTTCTCTACAATGCTCACTAAATCTGAAATCGGTAAGACCCCTACCTTGTCCTACATTAACATGTCCATGCCCATGAAGCAAAACCTATGTGCTTTGTTAGACCAAACTGCAGTCCTCCACAATGTCAGCCAGCAGAATGAACTCCTGATTGAACCATACGAAATTCATACCAATCAATCTTAACCAACCTTCCAGATCTAAAGCTATTATAGGCAACATTCAATCTATATGGGCAGAACAATCCATATGGATTTTGATCCATGGTCCATCCAGGTGACCCTGCAGGGTTGATGTTCTGGACCATTAAGTCAGTAAGCTATTTGTCAAGCATGATTACAAGGTCCAATTCCTCTCTCACAGACACAAACACACATGCACAGGAAATCTATATGGACAGAACAATCCAATTTGTATGGATTTTGATCCATGGTCTATCCAGGTGATCCTGCAGATTTGATGTTTTGGACCATTAGGTCAGTAAGCTTTTTTTAATCAGAAATGGTAACTTTCATTAAAGAAAATTTAAAACTGAGATATAGGAGTCAACCCTTATTAGAAGAGGTTAATCTAATAAACATCAACCATTACAGCACTGCCCAGTAAAGTCCCTCCCTTAGAGTCCCTTGTTTAGTTAAGGCATCAGCAAAACCATTTGCTGATCTCCTTACCCACTCGAAACAAACACCCACCTCCCTTGTTATGCTAAGTATTTCCCTTATCAGCTGTCCATATTGCCAAATTCCCAGCTGTCCTGATTGCATCCACCCAATTACCAATTTGGAGTACCCCTCTATCTCAAAGTCAGTAAGCTATTTGTCAAGTACAGTTACAAGGTGCAATTCCTCTCTTACAGACACAAACACAATATCATACTAATAAGTAACAATTGAAAACCATGATTGCTCCAATTAAACAAGAAATATGCACAATCATGATTACTCTGAACAACACCCTAATCATTTATGATGCTATTAAAGGTTCAGCAAACAATTAAGTTTTGAGAAAAGCACCATAATTGAAATGACTTTAAGACTTGCCTCAATTTGTTAACTAACATATGCCAATGATATGCTTACTCAACAAAACAATTATGGAGGTTGTGTACCTTTGAACCACTTCGAATAGCTCCAGACTCCAATTTACCACTGGCTGCTACCTGTCCTTGCAAGTGTGATCTTATGACATCACATATAGGCATACGTAGTGGCTTCACAGTATCCCTAATGGGAGGGTGGAGAGAATCTATTGCATCCAACAGATGTGATCCCTGATACCTGCATGAAAACACAATTCATAAATTTTTAAAATCTAAAAATTATTCAAATAGTAATAGAAATGGAATTATGGGCTTTTTTTCTTATGCTCCTTATTTATTTTATGGACTTGTTATTGGGCCATGGGTATATTTTAGTTTTCTTATAGACCTTTTGTTACTGCCACCTTATTAGGGGCAGTTTTGTAATTTTCCACATATTTGCATCAACTCTGTAAGAGAGTGTGGGTGGATGGTTATGACCAAGGATTAACGTATCAGTATCGGGTATTGTATCGGACCACTCAGATATGGATACAGATACGGATATGGATACACTTTGGAAACGCATGGATACGGACAAAAAAATATGGATACGCCAAAAAATGCATATGAATTCCACAAACATATTAATAACATTATTTTTAAGATCAAAATAGCCATAATTAATGTATAGATACATAGAAAATGTATATTCTAAAGGTATATGTGAAGAAATATACTGCAATTAATATAGTGGGATGCATAGAAATCATAAAATTTTATTGATATTGTATCAACCAAGAATCCTGGAACATATTATATATATATTGTTTAAAAATTAATACATGCACAAAGCTATTATTATGTTATTTTCTATTGAGTTTCAAGGAACAAAACATATGCAACTATTATATGTGAATTATTATGTCGATTATTTTCTATTTGACTATTTTTAATTTTTAATATTAACTGAAATCAACTAAAAATTAATTCTCAAATGTTTAGTTAACAATATTTTTATTTTTGTAAACAATAAACACGTTATTATAAAATGTAATCAAAATATAAATTAAAAATTTATAATAACATATAGTATTAACTTAAAACATATCAAATATATTAAATTTTCTAAGATACACATCATATGCAAATTCATAATTTTTAATTGCTAAAATAATTATTCCGTTATTAATATTTTTATTTTCATAAAATTTGAGATAAAAAAATCATTTTTTGATATAAATGTAGATTAATGGATTTGACAAATTCAATTATATTATATTCTCAAGGTTTTTGTAAATAATATTCTTAATTTTATAAATAATATATATACTTTTATTTAGTTCAAATTAAAATACTAATTAATAATTTATAAAATTTTAAGTTACATGTCATGTTCAAATTTATAAATATTAAGTACTAAAATAATTATTCTATTATTAATATCTTTTTCATATAAATTTCTTGAGATTAAACAAATTTTTTATATAAATGTGGACTTAAAAAATTATTTATTCTATTAGTTTATAAAATATTAGTTTTGAATATTATTTTTTTTATTTTAATGGAATTGTTAAACAAAAATGTAACTTTTTTGCATTATATGTGGGCACTAGAATAGAAAGAAATTATTTTATTTTATTAGATTTCATAAGATGAAAAGTGGCTTAATGGTTCAAGCGCGCGTTTAAGGCTTTGCCATTGGAAGGTTTGTGTTCGATTCACGCCAGGTGCAACTTTTTGGAAATAAACGCGCACGCGAGAAAACGCCGATCGGTCGTATCGATGCGTATTGCTTCGATACATCACGATACAGACCGATATGAAGGCGTATCACTCCGATACACGCGATTCAGGGGATACAGGTTTATTCGTAGTGTATCCCGTATCCCCTCTGGCCGATACCAATACGATACGCCCCGTATCGGACGTATCGTATCGATATTTAAATCCTTGGTTATGACCACCACGAATCACCATCTGATTTTCTCTTCACTCTTCTCTTCCTTCTGTCGCTCATTCTTTTCTCTTTGTTATTCTTTTCTTTTAACACCAGATTTTATTTATTTCTTTGATTAATTGCTCCTGAATTATTTGACAAGAATTAGTAACAATGAACATCATAAGCACATTAGGAAATTATCTTTTTACAGATAAGTAAGCTGGGATCACCCACAGTTGAAACAATGATATGCGGAGAAACACTAGTTTGAGCTAGAGGATCAATCACCACTTGGAAAGAGAAAGACAAATGAAGAAATGATAGAATAAATCATGTAACAAGTACACAAATCATAACCTCCTCATCCCATCAAGAACAGCTAACTGCCTAAAACAAATAATGCAGATTTTTCAAATGTCACATATAGGAACACCTTAAAAGGAAATTGTGATTTTATTAATCAAGAAATGAGAGCTAGTACAGGCATCCCAAGGAGAGGCACAAGGTGCAACCTCTCCTTAAAAGAAATTTACAGAAAAAAAAAACAGTAGTGAAAAGATTACAAAGCAGCTCAGTATAAGCTTTCCCTATTAACCCCTTGTTTGGCAAGACAATCGACCAACACATTCGCCGACCTTCCCACCCAGTGTAGGCTGATATTCATGTTTCTAGTTAGCCACTTAGCTTTCTTTAGAAGGTCCCTGTAGACAATTGTCATGTGTCTTGTTAACCACTGAACATTTTTTATGATATCCCTAAAACTCCAAATGACTGAATCTGGGTTCAACAACCAGTCCGCAATCCCTTAGCCCCCTTCAATTAGTAACTTCTCCAACTCAAGTTGGTTGGCCATCAGAATCCCTTTCTACTGCAGCCAATAACTCAGCCCTTGTAGAATCACCTATCCCAACTGGGCCTGAAAGCAAGGATATGATATTGCTTTCCTCATTCCCCTCCTTTTTTTTTATCAATAACAGATTCATTAAATTCATTGAAACACCATAAGAATAATTACAGCAAGGAAGACAAACACTCTTATCTTCCAAATACAACTTAAACCCTAAAAAAATAAAAGAAAAGGAAAAGAAAAGAAGAAACAGTTAATTTACAACTTGGCCCAAAACATTGCTTCCCTTTCTATCCCCTGTTTAGCTAATCCATCAGCTATAGAATTAGCTGATCTTTTAACCCAACTCATCCTGACTTCCATCTCCCGCACCAACCACTTGAATTTCCTCCTCTCATTGCTGTAGCTCCATAAGCCACAGTTGTCTTTAATCAGCCACCCTATCACCACCTCCGAGTCCCCTTCAATAATGAGTTTTTTTGACATTCATCTCCTTAGCTTTCTGGACTCCTTCCATAACTGCCAAGGTCTCAGCTCTAAGGGAGTTCCCCATTCCAATTGGGCCTGAGAATAGGGCAGAAATGATCCCATTCTCATCCCTAAAAACACTCCCAATCCCTGATTGTCCAGGATTCCCCCTACAACTCCCATCAAAGTTTACTTTTAGGAAACCAACAAGTGGGCGGGGGGAGAGGGGGGGTGGTCCAAGACACCCTTATTACTGGTTTGGTCTGTGTGCAGTTTGCAATCTCACTCCACTTCCTCAACATGTCATCCACTGTGTAGTCTGTGAATAGCTTTAAAAATTTCAGCCACTGTACAGCCCTTATATGGATCACAGCCCTCAATTCTTCAGCCCCTCTCTCATCTTCTGAGAAGATCCTAAAATTTCTTTCTTCCCATGCTGACCAGCATACTGCAGCCTTCAGTCCTCTCCACATGGTCCTTTCCCTTTTCATGCACCACCTGAAAAAAGGAGAAAAGAGACTCTGCAAGTCTGATGGAGGGTTCCACTTACGCCCAAAGAGAGAAAAAGCCCACTCCCAAATTGACTTTGCAAATTGGCAAGACACTAGTAAGTGAAAACCAGTCTCCCCATCCGATTTGCAAAGAACACACCAATGAGGTGACAAGCAAGTATTGGGTCTCTTCAGTTGAAAAACAGCCCACTTGATGTGTGGAACTGTTTGAGATTAGATGCAAACCAGAAAAGAGAACAAACAAGAGAAGTAGAGAAGAAAGAGCTGGCGGCAATGAGTGTTAGAGAGTAAGAGGTTCGAACATAACCTCTCTCTAACACTCTAAACATCTTATTAATAAGTTA